GATGGTTCAATGAATAAATAAGAAAGAATATTACTTACTTATATTATTTTGACATAGATGTCAAAATAATTAGCACACTTTATATTTTTTAAGAATTAAATATAAAAGTAATTACATTTATAACAATTAATATTATAGCATAAATATTTCGATTAGGAACACCAATTAATATTTAATTTCTTACACATAAATACTCACTTATCAAGTCTTGATCATTTTACAAAGTTATAAATGAAAATGATAATTTTTGTTACATGTAAATTTTTACAAAGCTATACATGGAAAACAATAATTTTAAAATGGAAAATACTAATTTTAAAATGGAACGTACTTTTTATTTGATTTAGAATTTTTTATATATACGGAATAAAATTAATGCTCTATTAAATAAGCGTGCCCATAAAAATACATTTCCTTTTATATATTTGTTTCTTATTTTAAAATAATTAGAAAATCTCTCCAATTCGTATTAATTCAAAGCAAAAAAATCAAATGTAATTTCGTTTAGTCCTACCAATCTATCCGTTCTTAAAGAAAATTTATTTGTTTTGATTATAGTTTTTGAATAGGTGTTTTTTTTAAATTTCAAAATATACTATTTAATTTAAATATTTTCCAATTATGAATGAAAATATAAAAGTTTTTAAACGCAATTATATGGAGAAATTTGTGTGTAACAAATATGAAATTTAATTTCCGCATAATAAGTTTTTTTGTTAACTATTTTTTAAACATTACTTGCTAACATGACATGCTGATATGTTAAAAAGGTTGTCTAATAAGCACGCCACATGTCACAATTCTAGAAAGCCAACCCGTTTGAAATATTGAGGAAGTCGATTTTGATGACGTGGCTGATGAAGTGTCAAAAAAAGTTCCAGTCAGCACGCCAAATGTCGCAATTCTGAGAGTTCAACTCTCAAATATTATATATAAAGGATTCTTTTTCTCATTTTTTTTTCCATAACCTTCCCCTAGCCTCCCCTGCATAGCCATAGTCGCCGCTTGTGTCTCGTACGATTGCCATCGGCTACCACCGCGGCACCGCCCATACACAGTCATATTTTTTTCGAAAAATATATCATGTTTTATTTTGAGCTACTTTTCTTTTCCAATCTGGTTTACGAACTTCCTATTATTCAACTTTTGGTTCCCGTTTGTAATAATCAACAAACTTTTTTAAAATGACTTGTGAATTTTTGGGGTTTGATCTTCTTCATCTCGCGTTTAGTTTGTTAATTATCTTCATTCTTCTGTGATGTCATTGTCATTCATCATTACTATCAATATCACTATAAGGATATTAAAGGCTATGAACCATGGGTGGTCGGAGGGTGTGCAAAGTGGCCAACCGCACAAAGCCCTTAAAAATTTAGGGCATCATATTTTTAAATTTGTTAATAATTTCAAAGTAAAAGTATTCTAAAAATGTAAAATAGGACACAAAATGTAAATTTTGGACCGGGTCAATTTTATTTTTTGATTTCTCGGGACCGGCCCTGCTATGAACATTGTTCTTTTTTCTTCAATGAATAAAAAAGACTTTGAACATAGTGAACAATGTCCATCCGACAGAGGGAATTATTAGATAAGATCGAGGACATTGAGATTGTGACTATAACAGATGCAATGGATAGTGGAAGTTATAGAGCAGTTAAAATGCTGTGGATATTATTTTTTCTTTTTTGAAGATAAAGACATTGAATATAATGGATAATGTCCATCCGGTAGAGGACTCTAATTGAATATACTCTGCATGAGAAAATTAATTAATATAATGTTCATCCGGTCAAGGACATTATTTGATAGATTGTCGGTGGCGACGGCCGGCGGGCGGAACGATTAACAACAGGCGGTGGTGGCGGACGATCGATTGATGGGCGGTATGTAGCGGTCGTGTTAAAGATAAAATTATAAATTAGGGTTTTAATCTAAAAGGGTATTTTGGTACATTTATTATCCTAATTAGGGAAATAAAAATAAATTGTCCTATTTAGAGAAAATGACTATGTTTTAGTCTTATTTAAGTAAATTTCTCAATAGAGTATTCATTTGTCATGTTTATTTAATTAAATACTTATTTAAAACATGTATATGCTCAATTGAGGACCACATAATATTCATTGTGTTTATATAGAAAGTATACCGACACTTAACACGGTACTTATTTTACTTAAAATAAAGATGGATATAGAGCTTAAACAAAGAAATACTTCCTCTGTCCAACTTGGTTCTTCTCATTTGATTTTTAATAGTCTTTAATGTCAAGCTTTGACCATTAATATAATATAAATATATGATATTTTAGTTTACCAAAAAAATGTTTAAGATACAGAGACAAATATCTGAAAATAAATAAGTATATTTGTTTGAAGAAAAGTATACTTATTGAGCCAAAGAGAATTTAAAAGTGTTATCCTTATAATAAGAATTTTGGGTAAATTTGATTTTATTTTGGTATTCGAATTTCAAATCCTCTCGCAAAAATACACGACCTAAGAGTCTTGAATTAGTGAACACCATTTGCTTGATTCTTTTGAACAAAACTTGCACTTCTATGACATCTCTTGAAATAGCTTCGACCTTTGTTCGTCATTTACTCCCTCCCTCTAGGAAATGTTCTTTTCATTTGATTTTATAATCAAAATTTATCAACTTTGTTTCCAGTATGTAGAAAAATACATTGTATTATGATAATATCAATATATTCCTATTGAAATGTAATTTTAAAATATTAAATTTTTATAAAATATATCTATATATAGGTATAGATATAAATCGTGAAAGTGTAACATTGGAAAGCGTATAAACTCAAATGGGGAGAATATTTTTGGGTGGATGGAGTATCAAAAATACACTTGAATAGCATGCTAACAAACACACAAAAAAAATGTGTTCATTTTTGAATGATTTCCATATAAGGTCGAGCATGTGTAACAAAGAAGAGAGTCTGATCTTGTAATCCACGACAGATTGAAGAGAGAGTTGTCTTTCAAGAAACCGATTCAACCTAGGTACTGTACGAAGTATTTGAAATGGAGAATACTATGTGTACACCATATGGGTACACCACTTGTACCCCATACATACCCCCTTCCCATAACCCCCTCCTCCTTCTCCCTCCCCCATCTTTCCATAACCCCCCTGCTCTCTCTCTCTCTCTATCTCAGAATATTTTACCGACGAAGCAGGAGCGATCGACTACCGGAAGACCAGTCCTCCCAGAGCTCCTTCTTGGTCTTCCTCGTTCTTCCTCTATAGCAACCCCTACTTCGCCATCCTCCATCGAGTGCATCCGTAAAAGATCCAACTTGGCAAAGAGCACCTCCCTCGTCTTCTTCGATCGGTTGCACCCATCTGGCCACTGTAAAACAACAAATTTAAGGTAATAATAAATACTTATATTTCAATTTTAGGGTTTTTATTTTGTAAATCTAGATTCAAACGCTCAATCCTCCCCTTTTGTGAAATTAGCCTTTATTTATGTTTTTTGTGAATCATTGTTTCTTGAACTTGTTAAGTTGTTTATTTCCTTTTTGAATCTTTTCAGGTGCTAATTTTTCAGTAATAACTTGTCGTAATTGGGCATTTTTCATGTTTATTACGAAATGTCTGTGTAGTACTTCTTACTGGTGTAAAATGTTTGTATTCTAATTAAGAGTATTAGATTTCAAAACTTGTTTTGAAATGTCTATGATGTGCTTCTTGCTTGCATAAAATGTCTGTATTTAAAACAGAACTTGTTCTGTTTCATTAATTACTCGAAAGTGTTTGTGAAGTG